CTCCTTCTGCCTCAGCCTTCCAAGTAGCTGAACTACAGGCGTGCGCTACCACGCCCAGCTGATTTTTTGATTTATTGTAGAGATGAGGTCTCGCCAAGTTGCCCAGGCAGGTCTCGAACCCGCAGGCTCAGGCAATTCACTCACCTCAGCCTCCCAAAGGTGCGGGATTATAGGCTGAGCCACCGAACCCAGCTTAGCATAAAACCTTTATGGACCAAAATTTCACTTCTAAAATTAAGTATGTCTAATATAATCAGTGGGTTTCCTGGCACTCTCAACCCAGTACCTTGCATATACAAAATATACTGATACAAAGTGCTAATTATCTCTGTAGCATTTCACTTTGTGAAAATTTTCTGTGATTGTTGCAAAATGTAACAATTAAGAATAAATTAGTTGGGTATGGTGGCTCATGCCTGTAATCCCAGCACTTTGGGAGGCGGAGACAAGAGGATTGTCAGAGCGCATGGGTTCAAGACCAGCCTGGGCAACATGGTGAGGCCTCGTCTCTACAATAAATTAAAAAATTAGCTGGGCATGGTGGCATAAATTAAAAAATTAGCTGGGCATGGGAAGGCTGAGGCGGAAGGATCACCTGAGCACAGCAGGTCGAGGCTGCAGTGGCCATGAGCACTCCAGCCTGGACCACAGAATGAGACTCCAATTCAAAATAAATAAATAAATAAGTTACAACAGGCTGGGCACAGCAGGTCACACCTGTAATCCCAGTACTTTAGGAGGCTGAGGAGGGAAAATTGCTTGAGTCCAAGAACTTGAGACCAGCCTGGGCAACACAGAGACCCCTTGTCTCTATAAAAAATTTTTAAAAAAATCTCGGCAGGCGTGGTGGTGCACACCTGTAGTCCTAGCTGTTTGGGAGGCTGACACAGAAGGATAGACTGAGCTCAGTAAATAGAGGGTGTAATGAGCTGAGACTGTGTCACTGCACCCCAGTCTGGGCAACAGAATAAGAAGACCACAACTCAAAAAGAAAAAATAGGAGGCTAGGCTCAGTGGCTCAGCCTGTAATCCCAGCACTTTGGGAGGCCAAGGCGAGACCTCATCTCTACA